ATTTAGTAGAGTTTTATTAGTTAATACTAAGTGTGTTGTTCAAATCTTCTGTGGACTTACTAGTCTTGTCTCTATTAAATAGGAAACAGATGTATAAAATCTACCACACAATTAGTGAGTTTGTTTCTCCTTAGAAATTTGTTGGTCTTTGCTTTTTATATTTTGAAACTTTTCATGCAAATGTGGAATTAAAGCTTCCTGGTAAATACAACCTTTTATCAAAATACATTGACCTTCTTTAATTGTAGTAATTCTTGCCTTAATATTTGCTTTGACTTTTATCAAGGAATCAACATTGGTATTTTTGGTTAGTATCTAAGTGATATATTTCATTCCTTTAATCATTTTGGGTTAAAATTTTTGTTCTTAGTAAATACCGTAGTATTTGTGGGTGTCTTAAAATGCAGTGTGATTACAACTATCTCTTATTTGAAGCATTTAATTCATTAACTTTTTTTTTGTAAATACTGTGTGTTTATATTTATTTTTATCACCTCATTCATCTTTATTGGGGTGCTTTTCTTTACTCATTTCTGTTAGCATAAACTTTTCTTTTTTTTTTTTAAAGATTTTATTTATTTATTCATGAGAGAGGAGGAGAGAGAGGGGGGTAGAGAGAGAGAGAGAGAGAAGCAGAGGGAGAAGCAGGCTCCCAAGGAGCAGGGAGCCTGATGCGGGACTCGATCCCAGGACCCTGGGATCATGACCTGAGCCGAAGACAGACGCTTAACCATCTGAGCCACCCAGGCGCCCAGCATAAACTTTTCTATATTTCCCTCTTCCAGTGGTTCAAAGTTTTGCATTCTGTTATTACTCTTTTAGTGGTAACTCAAAAAATTTCACTAGTATACTAATATTAAAGTCAGAATTGATCAGTATTTCTATCATCCTTTCAACGAAGATCTTAAAATATTCTTTCTAGCATTTGTTTCATCTTTGACATTATTGCCTATTATTTTACTTCCTCCTGGTTAGTAACCTTTTGTGTTACTAGTTTTTCTTTTTTTTTTTTTTTTAGTTTTTCTTTTTTTTAAACAGTCAGTATTCATTTAGATTTACCCATACATTTTCCAGTTTTTTGCTCTGTTTTGCTTTTTTCACTTCTATATGAGTATTTCTCCTCTTTCAGAAATCTCTTATTTTTTTTTGAGTTTGAGTGAGGTTTTTCGAGTTTTAAACTCTAAGGATGTTAGAAAATGCCTTTTCTTCATTTTCATGTTCATGTTACTGAACAGTACTTTAGCTGAGTATAGAACTTTAGGTTGTCTATTATTTTTCCTTAGTTTCAATATAAAGTTGCATTGTCTTCCTGCTTCTATTGGGCTGATGAGAAGTCTGCTGTTAGTTTTGATACTCTTGTATAGGTAATTTTTGTTGTTTTAATATTTCCATTTTGTTTTTGGTGTTAGGATGTGTCCATGTGTAGATTTGTATTTATCCTGCTTGAGACTCAATATGCCATTTTTAGTCTGAAGATTGTAGATAGTTCATAGATATTATTTTTTTGAATATTGTACATTTTCTTCCTGGAACTTCTTAGGTAGTCTGTTATCCTTATCTTTATATTTTCCATCTTGTTCTTATTCTCTGTCTTACTTTTGAGTAATAGCTTCAGTTCTGTGCTCCAACTTCTCAGTTTCCTCCCTTTGTCCTTTTTTCTCTTCCTCCCATTTCTCAATTTATTTTCCCTTCCCATATGTCCCCTCCCCCTTTTTTGGGAGCCTAATCGTGTATTATTTATAATTTATCCAGCCTAATAGTGTATGATTTGTAATTTATCCATTTGTGTTTTTAACCTCTTCCTTGTTTTTTTGTTTTGGTTATTTCCTACCCTGCTTTCCCCCACTATAAATTTAGTGAACTGGTGATAAAAAAAATATTTTGTAGAAGAGTTTTTATTTGCTGACTAGTTCATTATAAATAGATAGGGAGTCAAAAGGAAATTAGTCTAATTTTGATTCAGTATCTTTTTAGCAAATATGTAGTTACCAGGCTTTCCTAACATGCTGTGTGAAAAGGAAATCAAGAGACTGTCTTGGCTCCTAAATTAGGTCATAAAATCTGGAGTTGATTCATGTTTGCTTTTGCTTTGTTTTGATTTTTTTTGTTTTGCTTTGTTATTCTTTCATTTTCTTTCCTCTGGAACATTAGTTGCGTTTGAAACATTAACTTCAGGAAATGTAGAGCTAATTATAGTAGCCTACTTATTCTAATTTCATAGTCTTTGTTACTCTAAACTACTGTGTGGGGGAAAAATAGAATACTTTTCCTGTTTTTCTCAGTTGTATATGTTTTTTTTTGAAAGTCTATAAAATATGTTTAGTATTTGATGACTTTATATCTTCCTATGGCAGATAATAAATTACTAGTGTTCTATTCCTATTACACTGGAGGCTGAATAACATAAGGTTAAGAGCATGGGCAGTGGATCCAGGCTGTATTGTTTAAATCCCTGTCTCTGCTTTTTACTAGTGGAATTACTTAAACTCTCTGTGCCTGTTCCCTCATCTATAAAATAGGGATAATAATAGTACTTATTTCATAGTGTCATTGTGAGAATTATAGGAATTCAGTCCTGTAAATCACTTACAAGAGTGTCTAACATATAGGAAACATTCAGTTTATGTTAGCCATTATGTTTTTCTAGTTCTGTGAAAAGTCACACAGGTAGTGTTACTGATAGGAGTAGAATCTGGGTGTTCTAATTCCAGTCTAGATGAAGCAATGTTTTACCTGTCAGGAGGTTATGCAGTCTTTTCTAGTATAAAAATTTGCAAGCTAATAAATGAATCTAATAAAGTTAAAATAACTTGTTTTATCAGTAGTAAAACGTATTTGAGTACATATGGGCTGAGCACTGTGTTAGGTTTTGGGAATACTAAGATAGACACAGCTTATATTCTAAAAAAGCTATAGACTAGTCCTGGAAAGAAGACAAAAAACCATGTGAAACAGTTATTTCCGTAAGATAGAAATGTAGAGAATCCAGGGGAATAAAGAGGAGAGGACATCCATCCCTTCCTTTGAGAGGGTGGAGCAAAGGGGAAACAGTCTTGGAAAATTCCATGGACAAGATATCACTAAAAAATCATTATGATTATTCACAGGGTAAGATAGTACATGAAAGAGAGTTTAAAGGGCTATCTATATGTTGTTCACTATTTAACTTTATTCTGAAATCTTCTATTGAGCCTTAGAGCATTTCAAGAAATTAACTGATATTTACCTTTGAGTTTCATAACAATTAGTAGTTTATTCTCATCTCACTCCCAGCTTCAAAAATCTTTTTTTTCCAGTGCCTTTTACAAATTTATTTTTCATTATAAAAGAAATATGTGCTTTTTAAATTTTTTTAAAGATTTTATTTGAGAGAGAGAGAGAGAGAGAGCATGAGCAGGGGGAGTGGCAGAGGGAGAAGGAGAAGCAGGCTCCCCACTGAGCAGGGAGCCTGATGTAGGGCTCGATCCCAGGACCCCGGGATCATGACCTGAGCTGAAGGCAGACACTTACTTAATCGACTGAGCATCCCAGGCGCCCCAGAAGTAGGTGCTTTTTGCAAACAAAGTTGAATAATAGGAAATATTTATTAAAAATAAAAATTCTCTATTCCCCTTTTTCTTCAACCTTCTCAGTCTCCCTGAAAATAAACCAAACAACAAAATGCATAATATATATATACACGTCTGCATCTTGCTTTGAATAATAATTTGTCTCCTTTACTTTGCATTCAAGACATTTTACAACATATTTCAAGGCTATTTTTTCAATTTTATTTTTATCAAAATGTTTTAGGCTCTAACTAAAATGAATTATTTTTTCTGTATCCTGTCATGTTTCATAGTTTCCTCACCTTTTTGTCTTTGCTTATGCCTAGAATGCCCTCCACCACTTCATGTTCAAAGTCCTTTCTTTCCTTAAAAATCTTTTCAAATAATAAATCCTCTGTTAAGCTTTCCTACTTTCCCCCCTCTTTTAGTTTTGAAAGTAATTTTGTGTTTCTAAGTTGCCATTATACTTTGTAACTTCACTTTCAGTACCTAACACTTTCTAATGTGCATACAGCTATATGTTTGATTTTGTGTGCCCTGGACTATAGTGACAATTCCTTTAAAGCAATATTATCTGTATTTGAGCTTTGTAATACCTAAGTGCCTATTTATAAAGTTTCTTATTATGTACCTATTTACTGAATAAATGTGTTTTAGATAAGATATATAATTACTCTTAGGAATACTGTTTTTAAACTGTCTTGGGGATAAGTTGAGAGAAGCATAGCTGTGAGTTGAAACTAAAACTTGACTTCTTTCTTTGGTTTGGTTAAATATTCAAAATAAAAAAATTTTTTTAAGATTTTGTTTATTTGAGGGAGAGAGAGAGAGAGAGAAACAGCATGAGAGGGGAGAGGGTCAGAGGGAGAAGCAGGCTTCCCGCTGAGCAGGGAGCCCAACATGGGGCTCAATCCCAGGACTCCGGGATCATGACCTGAGCCGAAGGCAGACACTTAACCAACTGAGCCACCCAGGCGCCCTCAAAATAAATTTTGAATAAATCTCTGAGACATTGTTTTGGTTTTTTTTTTTAGGAAACAAAGATTATGATAACCTGATTTAACCTGTTTTTGTTTTTGTTTTTTAAGATTTTATTTATTTGAGAGAGAGAGAGCACACAAGTCGGGGGGGGGGTGCATGCAGAGGGAGAGGGACGCAGGAGCTGGATCCCAGGATGAGGACCCTGAGATCAGGACCTCAGTGAAGGCAGACACTTACCTGACTCAGCCACCCAGGTGCCCTTCAACCTGTTTTTAAAATTAAAACTAAAATTTTTAAAAACTAAAGTTGTGATAACAAGGATATAAATAAATGCATATCTCAAATATTTAATAGGATAAAATTTTAGGGGCAGTTCTTTGACTTTTTTGAAGGAAACTCGCCACTATGACTATTTGCTTAACATGATTTAACATATATGTAGTCACTAAAAACTTTTTGTTTCCTTTTCAGAGAATGCAGAGTCTATTGATCTTAAACAGTTTTTTGACCAACATTTTTCACATATATATTACGTGTTCTTTGAGAATTTTGTGACTATTGAAGCTAGTCTTAAACAGAAAGGTAAGATGTTATAATTGGTCCTGGTTTATGTTGATGTTTCAAACAATTGTCATAAGTATCCACTTAAAAATAGACTCTTGGACATTGGAATTTTAATGTTATTTCGCTTTTTTTTTGTGAAACATCTTTTAGATACCCTTTCAAAGCATGGATTAGTAATACTGTCTTCATTCTTTTGAGAAGGCTTGGAAGATTTGCTTTTTACCTGGTCACATTTATTGACCTGTTTCCTCACTTTCTTTGCTCTGCCTTTAGATGCCTGTGAAGTTTGAGCAGTCATTCTCATATTTTCATTTTCAGAATTTATTCTAAGTTCTCCCCAGTATATTTTTTTGTTTTTTTAAAAAAGATTTTATTTATTTATTAGAGAGAGCGCGTGCACATGCACATGGGTGGGGGAAGGGGCAGAAGGAGAGGGAAAAACATACTCCCCACTGACCAGGGAGCCCCAGGCAGAACTTGATCCCAGGACTCTGAGATCATGACCTGAGCCCAAGGCAGACACTTAACTGACTGAGCCACCCAGGCACCCTTCCACAGTATGTTATTTGTTTTTAGATATAAATATGTAGAATCTAAATTTAATTGTTGAAAAGCATAGAGATGCTACAATATTGTCTATACATTAAACAGAATATGCTTTAAACATTTTATTAAAAAATCCCTGAGAAAATACTTTAGTGCTTGAAATATTTTAAGCTTTTTAAATGGTAACAGTGAGGACAAAATGGTAATAATTAAAATATTTTTCTGTAAAAATGTTTTAGGTCACAAGTCTCAGAGGGAGGAATTGGATGCTATACTTTTTATTTTTGAGGTAAGTATCTGCCAATCAACTTTTTTTCCCTCCAAAATAATTCTTGGAGGGAAATATATACAATATATACAAAGGAATATATTGAAACTATAAAATAGCATATATCAAAAGACTGAATTTGCTGTGCTTTCTAAGAACTGAATCACATTTTTTGACCTAAAAATATATCTGACTTAATTCTTAATTATTTTTTGAGATACATGTGTTGTTTTTAGGTAGAAGTAGAATTATGTTTTATACACTTGACACCACAAGATTGGTAATACTATAAAATAGTTAAGTGTTTTATAAATTATTTTTCTGTATTATTTTGGATTGGGTTGGGACAAGTCTTTATTGTTAAATAAACAGAAGGAAGTAGCAACATTTGATGCTCTACTAAAATTTATATTTTGTTTTTGGCGTACTGATAAAAATTAGGGTCCTCTCACTTTTAAAATAACTCCTTGCCTCTTCATTCTGTCTTTCAAATCAAGCAATGATAGGAGTATTCTGATCTTTAGCAAGAATTCAGAGATCTGGAGAAAGCCAGGATTAGATCCTGTGACTTGAAAGACAGTAAAGAATTTGGAAATCCATGTCTCAACATTGAGCTATTTTGTCTTTGGTAATTAAAGATAATTCACTGTTTTATACTTTGGGTACTTTGATATGGTTTAGAAGAATTTGAACAATCTGATATCTCTCTTAGGTATTGATTTAGCTGTTGATTTTAGTCACAGTTAAAAAAAAAAGAATGGTTTTTGTTTTTGTTTTTTTAAGAGTTCTAGATGGAAGTAACTAGCGTTGGTACCTATTGTGCTGTTTATTTTCAGTAATCATTGTCCCTGAGGAATTGGCTTATGTTTATCTCTTCAGGTGTTTGCATGAACTATTTACAAGGGGAATGTTAAAACATAGATGTTTTGAGAAAGAATGAAAGTATCAGCAGAACTCATTCAAATTATGTTCTCTAATATGAAATTAAATGAGGAAATCAATAACAAGGAAATTTTATAAATTCATAAATATGTGGAAATTAATGAACACACCCCCAAATAATCAATGGCTCACAGAAAGATATGACATACCAAAACTTAGGGAATTCAGCTAACCAAGCACTCAGAGGAAAATTTATAGTTATAAACTATATGATAAAAGGAAGAATTATATCCCATCAATTACCTAAGCTTCCACCTTAAGAAACTAGAAAAAGGAGCAAATTAAACCTAAAGCAAGCAGATAAAAAGAAATAATAAAGATTATAGCAGAAATAAATGGAAGAAAGATTTAAAAAATGGAGAGAACCAACAGAACTAAAAATCAGTTCATTGAAAAAGATCAAGAAAACTAATAATAGTTACCTTACTAAGTAAAAAGAATGAAGAATTAAAATTACTAAATTCAGGAATTAAAAAGGAATATCACTACCAACTTTATAGAAATTGTAAGAAAATCCTATGACCAACTGTATGCCAACAAATTTGATACATAAAATGGAAACGTTTCTATAAAGTCAGAAAGCAGTGAGATTTAAAAAGAAATAGAAAACCTGAAGGAGTTAGAACTAGTGAAAAACTGAATTAGTATTTAAATAAAATCCCACCAAGAAAAGCCCAGACCCAGGTGACTTCACTAGTGAATTTTAACCAGACATTTAAAGAAAAATACCAGTTCTTCACAAATTCTTTAATTAAAAAAAGATGATATTTCACAGTTCATTCAATGAGGCCAGTATTACCCAATCAAAACCAGACAAAAACAAGGAAAGAGAATTATAATAAAATATTTTCATGAGTATTGACACACAAAAATCCTAAAAAAAAAAAAGTAAACCAAACCAAGATACATATAAAAAGGATTAAAAGGATTATACAACATCACGAAGTGGGATTTATCTACTAAATACAAAATTTAACATCTAAAAATTAACCAACTAGTGTATCATAATAAAAGACAAAAAAAAATGCATGTTATTATCAGTAGACAAAGAAAAAGCATTTGGCAAAATCCAGTACTTTTTCATGATAAAACACCTAACAAAATGGGAATAAAAGGAAACATCATCAGTTTGTTGTAGGACATCTTTAAAAATACACATTCAAGACCATACCTAGTACTGGATACTGAGTGTCTCTTTTTTTTTTTTTTTTTTTTTAAGATTTTATTCATTTTTTTGACAGAGAGAGACACAGCGAGAGAGGGAACACAAGCAGGGGGAGTGGGAGAGGGAGAAGCAGGCTTCCCACCGAGCAGGAAGCCTGATGCGGGGCTCGATCCCAGGACTCCGGGATCATGACCTGAGCCGAAGGCAGACCCTTAAAGACTGAGCCACCCAGGCGCCCCTGAGTGCCTCTTTCTTAAGATTAGGAACAAAACAAGGGTATCCAGTCTTGCCATTTCTATTGAATATTGCACTTGGTTCTAGCTAGCCAGGGAAATTAGGCAAGAGAAGGAAATAAGATTGAAAAATAAGTTAAAAAAAAAAAAGGTATCCGCAGAGAAGGCAAGATAATAATTTCTGGAAAGTGTTCCTTCAGACATTCATGCTTGCCCTATGTCCAGGAAACTGAGGTGGATTGATTAGTTAATGGAAGATCTTTCAGGACCTTCCTTCTGTTAAAAAATAGTGTTTATTTTCCTTTATGTAATATATACTGATCAGTTGTTTGTCTTTAATGAATGACTGAATTTTCTTAGACTAAAAAGGTGTTAGATACAGGGCTTTCATCTTTTGGAAGAAATATTTAACCTTTGTGCTGATGTTTTTTTACTTACAAAGGGGACAGTAATATCTGCCTGACCTCTACCTTTAGAGACTAATGATGATTCTTAAAAATAAAGAAATTTATAAATTAACTGACTTCCTGTTTTTAGAATAAAAGGCATCATTATGTAGTGTTAATATGATGCAGGATTTATAATCTGTTTTCTTCTGTTAAGACTACACATTTTTTTCATCTTTATAGTAACCACATAAAAATAAAGACATGTTTATTTACATTTTATAAGAGGTTAAATCTGAAGTATAATAGTCATAATTTAGGAATGTTTCTGAGTAGTTTACAAACTTATCTTTTCAACTTATGATTTTATCTCTTGCCACACCAAAATAAATACAATTATACAATTGTTGGCTAGAGAACTTTGAGGAGGGCAATGGTAAAGAAGTTTGTTTAATTCATGTAAAATTTCTTCATCATTCTCTTGTATGAGATGGACTAATAAGATCATATCAAGTGGAAGATAGGTGTAAAACATGCATACTATCTTTTGGGGCAGAATAATATAAAAGTACACATTTTGGAATTAAGCCTATCAAGATTGGAATCAGTTCTTCCACTTTCTAATTTAAGCACATTACTTAACCCATTTTCTCATTTTTTAAATGAGATTAATAAACTTTCTCTTTAGGATGGTTCTGAGGATTGAGATATACCATTATATATAAAAGTATCTAGTGTTTGGCCCTTGTGAACACTTTGGTTCATGGCATTTCTGAAGTATAGCGATAAAGTAAGAGAGCAGTAACAACAAACTCACACACAAAACTCATTCGGCAAGTGGGTGAGTACTGGGAGCATAGTTCAGTAGCATAGGAAGGCAGCTGTTGAACTAGAATAATTCACACGGTACAAATTTGTAAAGGGAATGAAAGGTAAAATTTTGAAAGTGTTATATGTAAAAAGTGTTTACTTCCAGTTATTGGAAACCTTTATTAGTTTAACTGTAAGGATCCTGTATTTTTAAATATTGTTCTTATACCTATAGCCATTGTAAATATAAGTACCTTTGGGTTCACATGAATCAAATCAGTACAAATATTTGATGTGATTTTTGTGAAATCAAAATATTTTCCCTACTTATATCAAAACAGGAGGAAGAACTACTCAAAGTGAGACAAAATGTCACACAAATAGTAGTATCTGAAAGAATTCAGAACTTATCAGTAATATCCACAATATGGAAATTCTAGGAACAGTAAATGATCATTTTGAAATATGCTAGAGTTTGTTATTTATTTATTTATTTAAGATTTTATTTATTTATTTGACAGAGAGAGACACAGTGAGAGAGGGAACACAAGCAGGGGGAGTGGGAGAGGGAGAAGCAGGCTTCCCGCCGAGCAGGGAGCCCGATGTGGGGCTCGATCCCAGGACCCTGGGATCATGACCTGAATGGAAGGCAGACGCTTAACGACTGAGCCACCCAGGTGCCCCTAGAGTTCGTTATTTAATCCATAAAGAGGAATATACTTACTTTTCACATCATTGTAAAAGATAAATTTCATTAATGTCTTGTTCCAAGTCTTCATTAGTATATCTTGTTGGGTTTTGTTTTTGGTGTTTTCAAATATTGATCACTGTGCCAGTGCTGAAATAGTGGAAGTACTGTCAGATTAACTCAAATACTGTTTTGTGTTTGTGATGCTATCTTTTACATAAGAAACTGTTAAAGGCTTATTATAAGCTCTTTGTTTAATTTTTCACATTGCATAGAATGTGGACTCATTACTTGCTTTTCATTCTTTGTTTTATTCATACTGATTTTTAGAAAATTTTACAACTTCTTCCAGAGAGAATTCATCAGCGATGGCAGTTTCATAGTATTGGTAAGTGATTTAAACATGTATTTCACATTTGACATACATGGTAATATATGAAAATGCTCTGTAGTGTGTAAGTTAGTCATTATTTGAAATGAATTTCTAGTTTATGTTTTAGTAAAAACAATATAAAGAATACAGGACTAAATGGGAGTATGAGATAAAAATGTAGATGAAGGATTTCCAGTCAAAATGGCATATTAAATTTCTTTAATCTGTCTGTTCCTTTACTTTAGTAATGATAAAACTAAAAAACCAAAAAAATAAAAGGCTCAGCATCAAAATAAACAAAATAAAAGGCTCAGCATCAAAATAAACATCTCAGATTCAGAAATGGAAGAGAAATGTAAAGTGCCAAGTAGAGTGAATACTTGGGCTCCAGATTTGAAAGCAAGCAGTGTCAGCCGGCAGTTTGCTCCACAGAAAATAGTGAGGGGAACTAGAGTTAACCTTCTTGCTTGAAGGTCCAGAGGAGAGCTTTCCAGATCATGGAATGAAACCAAAAAGGAAAAAGGGCAAAAAAACCCCTGCTGTGGATTACTGTCAGAGACTAAGTAGGGAGGAGAGCATAGACTTTCTGTTCCCAGGAACTAAGCCAAGGTGCTTGCCAGTTTGGAGTCTGGTCTTGTAACAATAACGATATCACCACAGGGCTCTTGAGCTCTTGTTCTCAGACATTTTCCCCTCTGTGTTTAGAAAGGAGTCTGTAGGTAAGCATTGTTGGCTTTGGTTTGGGTGTCTCAATGGTGGCAGTTTTGATTGCTAATGATTCTCGTGACCCTTCTCTTGGGAAATATGTGGATGGCCACCCTGTCTACATTGTTGAACTAGAATGTTATAGGCCTTATATTCATTTGTAAAACGTGTATTCATTTCTTTTAAAAACAAAAGTCATAGATTTTACTTAGGCCCCACATTTTTTAATCCATTATAGCAAGTGAAATCTTTTTGGACATAGTTTATAAATGGGCAAAGGATTTGAATAGACATTTCTCCAAGATATACAAATGACCAATAAGTACATGAAGAGATGTGCAACATCGTTAGTCAGTAGGGAAATGCAGATCACAACTCTTAAGGAGATACCACTTCACATCTACTAGGATGACTATAAGCCAAAAATAACAAGCATTGGTGAGGCTGTGGAGAAATTGGAACCCTCGAACACTGTTGATGGGAATGTAAAATGCCACAGCTGCTTTGAGAACCAGTCTGGCAGTTCCTCAAAATATTAAACATAGAGCTCCTCTATGGCCCAGCAATTCCATGCCCAGATATACCATACCCAAGAGAAAGGAAAACATATGTCTGCATAGAAATGTATACTCTAATGTTCATAGCACCATTTTTCACAAATTACCCAGTGTCTGTTAACTGATGGTTAGATGAGTAAAATGTGTTTTGTCTTAAAAAAAGAGAAAAGTCTCTTGTGGGGCTTTGAAACTATAAGTTTTCAAAAACTTTTGTAAGTTTTATTTATTTGACAGAGATAGCAAGAGAGGGAACACAAGCAGGGGGAGTAGGAGAGGGAGAAGCAGGCTTCCCATGGAGCAGGGAGCCCAATGTGGGGCTCGATCCCAGGATCCTGGGATCCATGACCTGCACCGAAGGCAGACGCTTAACCAACTGAGCCACCCAGGTGCCCCTAAGAGTAGCTATATTGAATTATAATTTATATAGGCAAAATTCTTGTATTTAAGTATATAATTTAGTGATAAGCCTTCCCAGTTAATTCCAGAAACAAAAGGAACTCTGGACATCTAGGAAGGATATTGATGCAGGAGCTAAAAAAGACAAAATCCTAAATAGTAGTAAAGTCTTTTAGAATGAACTTTTTGGATAAAGTTTGAGACTAAATATAACATACCAATTATATATAAACAATTCTTACAACTTGATAATAAGATGATAAGACATATTTTTAAATTGGCAAAATATTTGAATAGGCTTTATATCAGAGAAGAGATATGAATTAGTAATAAGCACTTGATAAGGTACTCAATAAAATAGTGAAATCCTATTTTGGGTTTCATAATCATAAAAATGTCTTTGAAGGTTGTTTATGAAGAAAGTTTTTTTTGAGACATCTGAACTTCAAAAGTTTATTGTATTTTCTAAGGAATGTAGCCTTAAATCTTCAAAAGAGCTTTAGGCTCTCTACTTGTCATGATTAATAATAATCCAATAAATGTCTAACTTTTAGAAGACACATAAGAGGTCATTTTACTTTGTCATCCAGAAAAATCCTAAGACTTTTCTTTCATTTTTGTCTTATATATAAAGGAAACTAAATCAATGAATCTAGTTGATTTTTTTTAAGATTTTTTATTTATTTATTTGAGAGAGAGAATGAGAGAGAAAGAGAGAGAGAGAGAGAGAGAGAGAGAGCGAGCACATGAGGGGGGAGGGGCAGAGGGAGAAGCAGACTCCCTGCTGAGCAGAGAGCTTGATGCGGGACTCGATCCTGGGACTCCAGGATCATGACCTGAGCCGAAGGCAGTCGCTTAACCAACTGAGCCACCCAGGCGCCCCTCCAGTTGATTTTTTAAAAGTAGCTTTTTTTTTAAAGAATTTTTTAAAATTATTTATTTGACGGAGAGAGACAGCGAGAGAGGGAACACAAGCAGGGGGAGTGGGAGAGGGAGAAACAGGCTTCCCGCCGAGCAGGGAGCCCGATGCGGGGCTCGATCCCAGGACCCTGGGATCATGACCTGAGCCGAAGGCAGATGCTTAATGACTCAGCCACCCAGGTGCCCCTAAAAGTAGCTTTATTTGAATTATAATTTATATAGGTAAAATTCACCTATTTAAGTAAATAATTTAGTGATTTTCAATAAATCTTTAGAGTCACCACTGTCTAGTTTTAGAACATTGCCTCACCCTGAAGTATTCCTTCAAGCCATTTACAGTTAGTGCCTTTCCCACCACCACAGTCTGCTTTCTGTGCTCAATAAATGTCTTTTTTTTTTGACATTTCATATAAATAAAATCATATAATTTATAGTAGTTTGCATTTGGCTTCTTTCACTTAGCATAATTTTTTTGTTTGTTTTCCATATTATAACGTATTATTCCTTTTTATTGCTGTATAGAGTACTATGATATGGCTATATCATATTTTATCTACTCACCAATTCATGGGCATTTATATTGTTTCTAGTTAATTATACCTCACTTATTCTGTTTGTTTTATTGTAGATTCCTTTCAGTTTTCTACATATAGGAACATGTCAACTGCAATTTAAGATAGTTTTACTTTTTTTTTTTTAAAGATTTTATTTATTTGACAGAGAGAGATAGCGAGAGCAGGAACACAAGCAGGGGGAGTGGGAGAGAGAGAAGCAGGCTTCCCACTGAGCAGGGAGCCTGTTGCGGGGCTCGATCCCAGGACCCTGGGATCATAACCTGAGCCGAAGGCAGACGCTTAATGACTGAGCCACCCAGGCACCCCGATAGTTTTACTTTTTTATTTCCAATCTGATACCTTTAATTTCTTTTCTTTCTCTTTTTCTTTTTTTTCTTTTTCTTTCTTTCTTTCTTTCTTTCTTTCTTTCTTTCTTTCTTTCTTTTTCTTTCTCTAGTATAGTGTTGAATGAAAGTGGTGAGAGCAGACACTCTTGTATCATTCCTGATGTGGGGGAGAAAGCAGTTACTCTTTCACAATTATGTATGGTGTTAGCTATTTTTATAGCTATGACAAGAACCTTTATTATAGTATTCCTGGGAATAGCAAAAATTTGAAAACAAACCAAATGTCCTAACGTAAATAAGAGTAATAGTATGGAATGGAATTGTATACAGCAGTTAAAGTGAATTAATTAGAGCAGTATAGATCACTATAGATAAATTTCAGAAGCTAATGTTGGTTGTGGAAAGTTACTTAGGTAGGGCCCTTGGATGGCTCAGTCAGTTGGGCGTCTGACTCTTGATTTCGGCTCAGGTCATGATCTCAGGGTTGTGAGCTTGAGCCCCAAGTGGGGCTCTGCGCTGAGCATGGAGCTTAGTTAAGATTCAGCAGCAACCCCAGCCCCCTGCACCGCTTTCTTGCACATGCACTCTCTCAAAGAAAAAAAAAAGAAAGAAAAGTAACTTACAGGAAGGCTTGTTTTGTATATCATATATAAATGTAAGGTTTTTTTTTTTTTAACAATTAAACTTCAGACTTAATCAGATTTAGTATTCTGTTTATGTTCTTTTTCTGTTCCAGAATCCAGTCCACGATACCACAGTGCATTTAGCATGCATAGATTTTTTTAGGGGAGCTGATAAAAGACTGGGCTTTACCTAGTATTGTTTTGAGAAATTGAATTTGTTCATTAGGTAGAGAATTGCAGATAAATCAACACAGTTTTATTTGAAATATTAAAGCTTATTTTTGTATGACAAATGAAACTTAACCAAATAAAATCCAGGCTTGATCTGTGTGTGTGTGTAATCTTGATATTATTAGAAAGAATAAAAAAATAGGATTAGAACAAATAGCTATGGAAGAAATTCTTGTTACTGACATAAGGTTTTAAATGTATTAACCAATTCTAAATATTTTATTAATTTATAAATAATCCTAATATAAAAATATTTCGGAAATAACACCACAAATCTGGATAATATTTTTTTCTGGGAAAGGAAGGGGAATGATTTGACATGGTTTCAAAGGAGGCTTCAATGATACTTGTTAGATAAAACATCAAAAATAAGGTAAATAAATGAAATTTTGAAATTATAGGAAACATGGGACTGTGTTTAGATTTGTTTAGACCAAATAGCAGGTCCCTGGATGTTTGTTAATGTAATTTCAGTATTTTATTATAGAGTTAAAAAACTGTATAAATTATAGAGGAATATTAAAGATGGCTTTGAATATTCTGAAAAAGAAAGTACAATGAAAATGTTTGTTAGGAAATATTCGAATTATAGAAGGTCATGTGGTTAACTAAATGGAAATTTCCTGCAGTGGTTTTTATTTGTATTAGTGGTGCAGAAAGTATTTAATTATATTCTTAGTCTTAAGTAAGAGATATACAGAGATAATGTTGTAGTAAATGCAATTTTGGGATTAAGGTTTGTTTCAGTAGACTAAATCATGTTTAATTCCAATAGAACATGTGTTGAAAAGGTGACTATATGCCCTTCTAGTCCCAAGATTATGGCCAGAGGGATATCAGGGTCACCAAGAATAATTTGGAGGTTGCCAAGGACTTGTTTTAAAGTGTTTTCAAGTCTGACTGGGAACTCTGACATTTGGAAACAACTAAGAAAATATGAAAATATTTTAAATCATGTTTCCTTTTCAGGATTAATTTTAAAGAAACTACTCCACACAGGAAACTCCTTGAAGGTATAATTATATTTTTTTTCTATGACTTTAAAAAAACACTGTCTCTTGTTCTACTTTTCCTACATCAACTTTTTTTCTAAAGAATTTTGAATTGTCTTTAGTTCACTTAGTTGAAGTGAATTGACTTAAAATAAAATATAGCAACATACTCAGTATGTGTGAAAATACATACTGGGTTGACCAGGCTATTGAAAATCTTTTGCCCCTGCATTGAGTGATTCACTAGAAATACTTTGCTCTCTGTTCCCCAGAAGACAAAAATTATTTACAAATTATTCTTTATATTACTATAACTATTCTTAGATGTAGGGAAAAATGATGGATCTATATTAAAAAGTTGATTTTATTTCTTTTTTTTTCATTATCTCATTGTGCTCTGGTAAGAGAAGCTACCCAGTGCAAAAGCATCTTGTTGTAGGTTAAGTGAAATTTCATATTGTAGGTAGTTTTGGTGTCAAGGCTTGGTATATAGCAGTACAAAAGAATAAGCCTTCCTAATTGTTTTTTTTGTTATCTCTCTAAACTGTAAGGGTGGCAGCTGTTGAACAGCTTTGACAGTGGCCATTTACCAAGCTGTGGTAAGGCAATTTCCAAAGCTACCAGTGAGATTAGCTTAGTGAAGAACTTTGTGTTTTGCTTGTCAGAGATTGAATGTTTTTCTGTCTTTTCCTGTTTTCTTCCTGGGAGAGAATTTATGCATTGATTGAAATATTTGTTGTCTTCTGTATATGGGGTATTGTTCTAGGTACTTAGAATATAGTAACCGGTCAAAATTTCTGCTCTGCAGGTTAGCAGCAAATAGTAAGTAGATGACATAATTTCAGAGAGTGGTAAACTTTTTTAAGAACATTGATTTAGCAGGGCACCAAGATCCCCATAACCATTCCACCTTTTACCACCAAAGTCACTGTACAGGGAACAGTTATTGCCCTCTTTCTTCTTGGTTCTTGGATTAGACCAGTGGTGTTGGGAAAGAGGGAGGTAAACAAGAAGGAAATAATTTTCTGATTTTTTTTTTTTTTTACCAATGGAAATTATAGAATAAAGATTACCTTATGGCTTTAAGTAGTTAGAGGCCAAGTTTATTCTGTATTTGTTCACAATCAATGAATTTAAATTTATAAATAATGAGGGCTCAATAAATGACACGGGTATAGTAGCCCTTCCTCTTTCCTTCCCTCCCTCCTTTCCTTCTTCCTTTTCTCCTTTTTCCTTTACCTCTTTCTTTCCTTCTTCTCTTTTGCGAAGTAACACTCTTCTAGAGAATTTTGGCCTTAAAAGTAAGAAAATACTTCCCTTATAAGTAAAAATACTGTTTTTCATTTTATTTATTTTAGATCAGACGGGAAGGTGTTCGTCTTTTCTTATTATGGTTGCAAGCTCTTCAGAATAACTGTAGCAAAGAACAGCTTTGGATGTTTTCATGCTTAATTCCCGGATTTTCAGCACTACAATCTGAACATGGACCTCGAACTTTAGATAATCTCATTAATCCTCCACTCAACCTTCAAGAAAGTAAGATTCACGAGATCTTATCCATCTGTATTTTAATATTTCCTGTGTAGTTTGTTAATGTATTTTTAAAATGTCCGTATGTTTATTAACTGGGTAATTCAGGGCCATGTTGTAAAATGTAGGTTTTATTATTTTTCACCTATGACGAGGCCAACAGATCAGAAGATGATTGACATAAAAAAATAATTACAGTTCCCAAGGGGAGAGGGCATGCCACACCAGGGAGGGTGGCCACATGGGGAAGTACCAGGGTCAGTCAGGGGTAGGGCATCAAAGGCAAGAGCCCTTACTGTGATTTCTGTAGGTAGAAACATGTGAGGCAGTGTGAGCAGTCCTGTGATTGGCCCGTTTGGATAATTTCAGCAGGCTTAGGTGCATAGGGGCTGTCCCTCATTGTCACCCATGTACCTGGGTGATTAGGTCAGGGGAATAGTGGCCCTGAACGTGGGAGCCGGATAGAAGAGGGGTAGAGGTGTGGACTCTGGACTGGTTGGTTTGTGTATGGAAGGCATGTTCTCCAGCCCATCTTTACCATCTCTGGGAATTGGCTGGGGAGGGACATTCTCTCCCTGGCCAGCAAGGCTTCTGGTGTCAAGCATCAGAAACACATGCTTAATAGAAGCCATTTTACATTTATCTTTTATTTCTAATTCTCATGTGTCATCTTGTGTCCTTGAGTTAATTTGGATGTACATTGAAGTACAAGAGTATTTTACTTTGTGCCAAGAGGACTGTAACAAAACCTATTTTTGTGAGCTTAATTACTTGGCTAATATTTACTAAGAAACAGGTTTAGGAACCTGCCTATATCAAACTAGGTGCTGCTTAGGAAATATTTAAGAGAGTTCAACTAGTTGTTGGTCAGTTTTTTTGAATTTGCATTTATTATAATGAATGTTTTTGAATATCGGAACATTTTAGAAAATGTAGAGGTTTCTTACTTTATACATGGACTTTTGTAATCAAGGAACTAAGATGCTATCCTTTCTTTTTGAGAGGGAAATAGCATTTTATTCTTTGACTAAAGGAGCTACCTTAAACAGTAAGCGTGGTCATTACTAGAGTAATAAGTCCTTTAGTTGATAAATAAGGTCATTGTTGTTGTTTCTCATCATACTATGGAATTTTTGTAATGGGCGCACTTAATGTAAATTTTAAAATATGAGTTTTTTTTTTCAAGTAAGATTCACTCTTAAGCTCTTTGTTATCTGTCCATCCATCCCTGTCACATTCTCTCAATCAAGGGGTTATGAAACAGCTGATTATTAAACTTTATGGCTGTTGTGATGGGCTGTTAGGATGATCTCAAGATTTATTTCAAGGTTCAATCACTAGAACGTTTTCAAGCAGTATTCATTGCATATATGTCTTACAGTTAAATTTTATTTGGATCACATTATTTCATTGTTAACTTTGTTTTGTGATTATACTAAACTTTTGTCTCTGTATAGCTCAAGTTACTATAGAGGAAATCACTCCTCTTGTCCCTCCACAATCAGGAGACAAAGGACAAGAAGATCTCACAAGCTATTTTCTTGAAGCACTTTTAAAATACATAGTAATTCAGGTATGTGTTACCCTTTTTGATATCAGTCCTCTTACTATCTTTGTGTGGGTAATTAATTTTTCTCTCTCTTACCATTATTATGTTAGAGTAGATATTTGCTTATTTTCTTGAAGGAGGACAAATTTTTACTTTTGAAAATGTATGTTAGTATGCCTTTTGTGAAATAAAAATCATTGGCGGGATTATGAGTCTCTTAGAAGCCGAGCTAGAGAGAGAAAATCTTGAAGTAGACTCTTTTATGTATATACCTTCCTCTGTGGGCCAGTTGGGTTTCCTTTCTAATCCTTTCCTTTATAATCAGTGGTTGTGGTCTTTAAGTAATAACTGTTTGATTTAGGAATCAGCCTGCCAAGAGGCAGCCATTAGGAAGATAGGCTGAGAATGGGGTGTGGGTGGAGGAATGTAATTTACACTTTAACCTGTTTGTACTCTGTAAATTTCTACGTGAATGTATTTTTTGTAAGGTAACCTATTCATCTCTACATATGAAATGTGCATGCACTGGTTGATGAAAACAATCTTAGCATATACACATTTCTTGTAACTATTCCAAACACAGAAATTCCCTATGCCTCAGAAACTAACATTAGAAAGTTAATTTGGACCCTGAATGAGATTGCCAAGGTTTAAATCTGATTCTACATTTTACTGATAGTGTCACCTTTGGTAAATTAACCTCTCTGGCTTAAAATAGACATAAAAGTAATACTTATCCTATTTTGGTGTTTGAGGGTTAAATAATTAGTAAAAATACTAGAAGAAACAAATACATGACACAAAGTGTTCTATGGCTGGTAGTTGTCACTGTCATTATCATTACCGGTTTTTCTTTTTTAAAAAACAACTTTTATACCTCATATAGATTTTTTAAATTGTTTTGCTGGTTTATTGAGATATAATTGACATATAGTAAACTGCAATATTTGAAATATACAATTTGATGACATTTATTTCATGTATACAGCCATGTAACCATCACCATAATCAAGATAATGACCTGTCTCCCCTAAAAGTTCTCACATGCCTTTGTAATACATCCTTTTCCACTCCTAACCACTGCCTCATTCCCAGGCAACTGTTGATCTGATTTATGTCACTACAGTTTGCATTTTCCTTATTTTCATATAAATGGAATTATATGGTACATACTTTTTTTTTGGTCTGGCTTCTTTTTTCTGTCATAATTTTTTTGAAAATCATCCATATTGTTGTGTATCAGTAGTTTGGTTTTTTAATTGCTGAGTAGCTTTTCATTGTATGGATATAACATGCTTTGTTATTCAGTCACCTGTTGATGGTGATATGAGTTGTTTCCAGTTTTTGGCTATTACAAATATAACAGCTGTGAATATTGATAAACTAGTCCTTATGTGGACATAAAATTTTTTCTCGTAGGTAAATACCTAGTAGTAGAATAGGTGGGTTGTAAAGTAGATATATATTGACTTGTTTAAGGCATTGCCAAGCTGTTTTCCAAGTGGTTGTACCTTTTTACATTCCACCAGCAATCTGTGAAGCTTAAAAGTTGCTTCACATCCTCACCAACAGTTGGTATGGTCAGTATGTAATTTTAGTTGTTCTAAAGTGAATAATGTAGGGGCACCTATTAGGTGGCTCAGTCGGTCCTGGCTCGATCCCAGGACCCTGGGATCATGACTTGAGCTGAAGGCAGACGCTTAACTGACTGAGCCACCCAGGAACCCCCGCATTTTTTTTTCAACTCCCTCCAAGTTGTTTAATAATAAAAAAGAAGATAGTACATATACATAAACCTGATCTCCCACCACCACCCCTCCTTTACTCCCAGTGACTAGCTCCAAAATGTAAAAATGTCCCTTGTCCCTCCTGGGGACGAAATTCCCACCTCCACCCCCCCTAAATAGAGAAACAAAAGAATAAAGAGTGTGTAGGAGGCCACCCACCCCAAACCTTCATCTCACTCAGTACCCTCAAAGAAAGAAGCAGGAATTAGGGGTTCAGAGAAATGAGAGGAGCCCTGTATTCCAAGAAGGGGTAAGAAGGGAGGTGAACCCACTCATCTCCAATTAAGTACTTAAACCCATACCTTGTCTTTCCTTTACCAATTGCCCAAGCCCAGGGATCAGAGAACTTAGAAAAACCCCACTTGGTCATCCCCACGTCCCTCCCACTCCCCACCAGCTCTAAGTCAGTGTGAGTTGCAGAGGTCAGGGGTGATTGAGGTAGAGGGCCTGGTGGGGAGGCCTGGTGGGCCTGGCTGGCTGCGGAAGCTGGCAAGGGACCACTTGTGGCCTTGCCGGGGCCGAGGACGGCTGTTTTTGGAGTGAGAGGGACACCATAGAGGTCTTGGTATGAATCACCCTGGTGTTTGGCTCAGGTCATGATCTCAGGGTTATAGGATTGAGCACCCCATGTTGGGTTCCCTGCTCGCAGGGAACCTGCTTCTCCCTCTCCTCCCTGCTCATGTGCGTGCTCATGCTCTCTCTCTCAAATAAATAAAATCCTAGAAAAAAGTAGTGAATAATGTATAGTGGTATCTCAGTGAAGCCTACTCTGGGCCTTTGCCATCCCCCTACTTAGCTATCTTCTTCACCCTATTGGAATTGTCACACCCTATATTTTACTGCTCTTTCCCTCTTATCCCCCACCCCCTCACTCCATGGACACTGTCCTCACCCCTCTTGGGCTCTAAGTCTCCCCTGGGCTGCCGCCTCTGCTACATCCCCTTCATGGATGCCCTGCATTTTGTGGTTAGGCTCTAATTATCTGCACTTGACTGCCACTGCTTTCACCCTTTCCCCCACTCCCACTCACATATGCCTATTTTGAATGACTTTTAAGGCTGAATTATTCAGGACAGGGCAAAGGGAGAAAGAACATTAGTATCTTTGTCATTAGTAGAGCCAAGTCTGGGTCAACTTTGAAAATTTTCAGAGCACACTTTAACTTCTAAGATTTTTGTAATTTAACATATATAATGCATTTACATGGCATTATACCAGCTTTTGCGATTTGCCCTTTATATATATTTAGCTCTGTATCTTTAGAGTATAACAGATTAGTGTATCGCTTAAGTAACCTTTTACAACCTTGTTTATGATAGCTAATAATTGTTTCTGTCTCATGGAATGATTCTGATTGTATTTTTTATTTTTAGGTAAAAAGTTTAGAATGGAAGAACAAAGAAAACCAGGAAAGGGGATTTTCTTTTTTGTTTTCACATTTTAAGAAATATTACTTGCCTCATATTTTCCCAAACATCTGCAAGGAGAATAGTTTATATCATCCTGTACTTGGTAGGTAGTCTGTGGAATTTTCTAAAAGATCACACATAAGAATAAAATTACCTCAATATAAAGTTGGCATTTGTTACTGGCAGAAAACTGATAACATTTAATATTTGCATTGGTTGTTTAGAGATACTATACCTTGATTCATAGAGAAAGTAGAATTTTATTAATAGGAAAGTTTCACTGAGAGTAAAGAGATTTTTTTTTAAAAATGTCTTCTCTGGATCTCACTGATAGGAAAAGTTAACCCACCATAAATATTTGATATTACACATTAAACTTATGCTATTTGGTATGATCCTTAAACTGTATTATAAATTTTCTCTTTAAGGTCCCCCAAGGATTCAATTTAGTATGTCTTATTCAAGTTCTGTATGAATAATGTCGTGTCGTATATTTTGATGATGTCTTGTCCAGTATTTAGTGGCTGTGCCAAAATGGCTGAGCCTTGAAACTAGAGCCTTTCTGACAAATCTTGGTTTAAAAGCAGACCTCTTCCATTTTTAGAAGCCACTGTCAATTTGTATATAGAAATTTTTTTTTTTTTTTTTAGAAAGATGTTCCTATTTTAAGCTTTGCCAAGTTTAGGCAGCTAATAGACTTAGGCATAACCATTAAGGCTTGTAGAAAGGGCCTAAATTAGAGTAGCAGATCTTTGCCATTGAGAACAATATTTGCTTTAAAAATATTTTTGCTATAAAAATCAAGGAAAAATTCTCATACTTCATATTCAAAATTTGTATCTCAGTCATAGGTTAATTGAAGTGAGTTCTCATTAATTTTAAATGGCTCTGGAAACCTCTCTTTACTTAGACAGGATTCACTGAGCCTTTTAGTGATATTTTGCAAAAAGACATGTTTCCATATATCAGCAATATATGGTTCACTCTTCTAGATTGCATGTTAATATCTAGCAAATTATTTTAAAATGTCATTTTAAATCTACTTTTAAAACAAGGGTATCATCACAAGGGTATCATCACATCTCAAATGTTTAAAAATGTAGATTTAGCCAAGCATAATAATTTTCTTATTTTGGTTTTTGTTTTCCTTTTATTTTTCTGTAGATATCCCACAGGTGAGACCAAAGCCACATTATGTTATGATAAAGAAGGATGCCGAAACCAATGAAGCAATCTATTGTACAAAAGAACCTTTCATTAAGGCTCGTGTTATTGTCATTCGTTGGCTGGTTTCTTTCTGGCTTGAGCCAAAGCCCCATACAGGACCTCATATTCCTGGGATGGAAGGTGAAGTCTTGCCAAAGAATATTCAGGTAATACACCACAAAGGGCAAACTTTAAAAATGGCTTAAGAGATATGTCTACGGATTTCAATTGCCTTAGATGTAGAACAAACTTAAATGATGGTAATATTTTCTTTGTATAAATGTATTTTGTAAATCCAAATTTTAACAATTATTATAGAATCAGTAGTCTTAATTAAAAAAACTTGGAAGATATAGAAGATAATTCTGGTCATGTATGAGTCTCAGCTTCTAATTTATTACTGTATTTTATGTTAACTGCGCTATACTAAAAATATTCTGAATTGTACACACAAATTCTTACAGTTGGAAATGATTTGTAATCAGTTCTTTTTCGATTCCTAAGCATTCACAGAATGCTAATTTAAAGTCTTGTCTTCCAGGGCGCCTGACTGGCTTAGTTGGTGGAGCATGCAGCTCTTGATCTTGTGGGTTGTGGGTTCAAACTCCATGCTGGGTGTAGAAATTACTTAAAAATAAAATCTTAAAAAAAAAAAGTCCTCATCTCATTTTCTCTTTTTTTCAGCAAGGGCACCGAGTCTAGAAATGTGATATAAAATTATACCCAGCTATACAATGGAGGGACTAATATTTAAACTTCTGGTATTTTTTTATTAAACCGTTTCCCTGTTTCTCACACTTTTTTTTTTTTATCACTTTCTTTTTTCTCAGTGTGTGTTTTTTTTGAGCTTATCTCTATTATAGTATTTTTAAATAATTTTTATTTTCCTTTTCTCAGACTTGCTTTAGTTTTAAAAATCTTAAACTGTGTGTGTTTTTGTTATGACTTCTTAGATCTTTTACAAATTAAGTGGGGGAATAAAGTGTGTGTTTAGTTAATTAGTATTCAGGAAATATAAAACTTTTATATTCCCTTTCACCTTTTATTTGTAGCCACCTATGGGTATGTTTTCCCTAAAACTTCATTCCAAGGTCTCTACAAATAATTATTAAGTGTAGAAACTCTCAAGCAGAACTATTTTTCATGATCCCAGAACTTAATGCTTAAAACCACAGAGTTTTTGATTGGGAAGGCATATTTGAAATCATTTACTTAAACCCTTTTGTTTTATAGATGACAAAACTGAGACCAAAAATTGAGTAACTTACTAGAAAGTAATTTGCTATACCATGGAATAGCTACTACTATCATACCATGGTAATAATTCCCTCATCACCAACCTTAAGATTTTTACTTTATCCCTAGGTTGTCTTCATCTTCAGTCATGGTGAAAATTCTTTTTTTTTTAAGATTTCATTTATTTATTTGACAGAGAGACAGTGAGAGAGGGAACACAAGCAGGGGGAGTAGGAAAGGGAGAAACAGGCTCCCCGCCGAGCAGGGAGCGCAACTGGGATTCAATCCCAGGACCCTGGGATCATGATCTGAGCCGAAGAGAGGCGCTTTTTTTTTTTTTTAAGATTTTATTTATTTATTTGACAGAGACACAGCGAGAGAGGGAACACAAGTAGGGGGAGAAGAAGAGGGAGAAGCAGGCTTCCCGCAGATCAGGGAGCCCGATGCGGGGCTCGATCCCAGGACCCTGGGATCATGACCCGAGCCAAAGGCAGACGCTTAACCCAACTGAGCCACCCAGGCACCCAACGGTGAAAATTCATTTAAGAGAATATAGAGTGTTCTCTTGAGTTTTCTTTCTTTCAAGATTTTATGTTTAAGTAATGACTACACTCAATGTGGGGCTCAAACTTAGAACCCCAAGATCAAGAGTCACACTCTGTACCGACAGAGCCAGCCAGGTGCCCCATTCTTGAGTTTTCTTGTGTTTTCTTTTGGCTTCCTTTCTACTTCTGTCATAACTTTTCTTCCATTCCTTTGTGGTTTTTTTGTAACTTGTTTGTACTGCAAACATTCTAAAATCAAATTATAGGTAAATAGATGATTAGTGAGCATCACTATATTACTTAGATGTTGAGTTATTTGCATTGCTACTTAATTATTTAGAATGGATTCTAAATGAAATCTATGCCCGATTTTAAACAACGGTGTAAGTTATTTGTGGAATGCTTTTAGAAAGCAAAATACCAAGTTGTATGATTATGATATTCTCCCCCTTTTGTTTTTATTGTAGAGAGCAGCTGCTAGTTTGGTATCCAGAGAAGAAAACAAAAATGATAATGCTGATAAAGCAGATAGAACTACAGAACCAGAACAGTCTCATTCCAATACAAGCACTCTCACGGAGCGAGAACCTAGCTCATCCAGTCTCTGCAGTATTGATGAGGAACATCTCACAGACATTGAAATAGTTCGCAGAGTTTTTTCTTCTAAAAGAAGTAATGTAAACTTTGTCACAGAGATATTTCGTCAGGTAAAGTACCTCTCAGTAATTTTAATTTGTAATATAGACTATGGTTTTTAATGTTGAATATACTGGCTTTCAGCTATTTAAAATTTTTAATAAAAATTTTTTAAAGTTTATATTTAATTTTTAAAATTTATTACATCTAGTCCTTTAATATTTTCTATTTATATTTTTTAGTTCATGATGATTTTGGTTTAATAACTGTCCACCTCCCCTCATACTCCTTCTGTTATTAGAACAGTTTTCTTAGTTACTCACTTTATGGTTTGAAACTATTCTTCCTACCATTTCCTTAGTAAATTATAGTAAAATTATTTTATCTTCCATTCTCTATAATCAATAAAAAGTGGTTTTTGAATAGAAGAAGCAGTGTTTTCATTGCCTTTATTCTCCTTCCAGAGGCTGTATTGTCCTCTAAGGCATTCTGAAGTTAAAGTTGCTTAAGGCAGATATTTGGGGACTAAAAGAAATGGAGAGAAAGAAAAAGAATAAAAACTATTTCACATAAAGATAGCTAGAAATTCATAAGTGCACATTCTCAATTACATAGAAATTTTGTGGAAAATAAACCTTATGAAAACTAATCATTTGCTCTTAATAGCAAAGGTACTTAACTTTTGCAGGTAAACATCATTGAGTTTTATAGCTAAAGGGGATCATTCAAGTCTCACAGCAAGTAAGTGGTACATCTGGGACTAAAACTCCCAGATCCTGGTTCCCGTGTCAGTGCTGTTTATTCTGTACTACATGCCTTCACTTGCCAGGAAGCTGTCTAGGCAAAGCAAATCTTCACCTTGTACACATGTTTATTGATATGTAAAACAAAGCATGACGCAGCATTAGTTTTGTTAACCTAAGTTAAAAAAACAAACTTACCTTGTTTTTGTTTCAGCAGCACATATACTAAAAATTGGAATGAGACAAAGAAAGTTAGCATGGTCCCTGCATATGGCCCACTGGCAAATTCATAAAGTGGTCTATATTTTTGTGTTAATGAGTACAAAATATATACAGTTATATACAAATAGACTCAGTTTCCTACAACCTCAATAAAGTGAATATCACAATAAAAAAAACAAATTTCCCTTAACATTTTTTCTGGCTTTGACAGTGGTTCTAGTTGCCAAGTTTAAGGTTTGTGTCGATAGAATATTTGACAAATGGGAAAGGAAAGATATTTGGCAAATAATGTTGGAGAACTTTACATGTGGGAGAACTTAAAGCAAACTTTTAGAATTATTAGGGCTTTCGAGTTCTTGAGTCCCTTTGTGTAAGTTTATTTTTTTAGGAATTTGTTCACTGCATTTGTTTTCAAATTTGACAGAAGGTTTATTCCATTCTCTTAGAATCTTTTTAATCTCTGAAGCATTTATATTCTTGTTCCCCTTTCATTCCTGTTAGTTTTTATTTGTTCCTTCTTTTTTTTCTTGATGATTCTTGCTAGAGATTTGTCATTTTATTAGTCTTTTCAAGAATGAGCTTTTGGCTATTAGTCTTCTCTGTTTTATACTTGTTTTCCTTTTTTGTTAATTAAAAAAAATTTATTGTTATGTTAATCACCATACATTACATCATTAGTTTTTGATGTAGTGTTCCTTGATTCATTGTTTGTACATAACACACAATGCACAGTGCTCCACACAGAACGTGCCCTCTTTAATACCCATCACCAGGCTAACCCATCCCCCCACCCCCCTCCCCTCTAGAACCCTCAGTTTGTTTTTCAGAGTCCATCGTCTTTCATAGTTCATCTCCCCCTCCGATTTACTCCCCTTCATTCTTCCCCTCCTGCTATCTTCTTTTTTTTTTCTTAACATATATTGCATTATTTGTTTCAGAGGTACAGATCTGTAAAAATTGGAGTGCAGTTGTCTTGCAACAGTCTTGCACAATTCACAGCACTCACCATAGCACATACCCTCCCCAATGTCTGTCACCCAGCCACCCCATCCTTCCCAGACCCCCACCACTCCAGCAACCCTCAGTTTGTTTCCTGAGATTAAGAATTCATCATATCAGTGAGGTCATATGATACATGTCTTTCTCTGATTGACTTATTTCACTCAGCATAACACCCTCCAGTTCCATCCACGTCGTTGCAAATGGCAAGATCTCCTTCCTTTTGATGGCTGCAAAATATTCCATTGTGTATATATACCACATCTTCTTTATCCATTCATCTGTCCATGGACATCTTGGCTCTTTCCACAGTTTGGCTATTGTGGACATTGCTTCTATAAACATTGGGGTGCATGTACCCCTTCGGATCCCTACATTTGTATCTTTGTGGTAAATACCCAGTAGTGCAATTGCTGGATCGTATGGTAGCTCTATTTTCAACTTTTTGAGGAACCTCCATACTGTTTTCCAGAGTGGCTGCACCAGCTTGCATTCCCACCAACAGTGTAGGAGGGTTCCCCTTTCTCCACATCCCCGCCAAAATCTGTCGTTTCTTGACTTATTAATTTTAGCCATTCAGACTGGTGTGAGTTGGTATCTCATTGAGGTTTTGATTTGGATTTCCCTGATGCCGAGCGATGTTGAGCACTTTTTCATGTGCCTGTTGGCCATTTGGATGTCTTCTTTGGAAAAATGTCTGTTCATGTCTTCTTCCCATTTCTTGATTGGATTATTTGTTCTTTGGGTGTTGAGTTTGAAAAGTTCTTTATACATTTTGCATACTAGCCCTTTATCTGATTTGTCATTTGCAAATATCTTCTCCCATTGTGTCGGTTGTCTTTTGGTTTTGTTGACTGTTTCTTTTGCTGTGCAAAAGCTTTTTATCTTGATGAAATCCCAATAGTTCATTTTTACCCTTGCTTCCCTTGCCTTTGGCAATGTTTCTTGGAAGAGGTTGCTGCCTGTGTTCTCCTTTAGGATTTTGATGGACTCCTGTCTCACGTTTAGGTCTTTCAACCATTTGGAGTCTATTTTTGTGTGTAGTGTTAGGAAATGGTCCAGTTTCATTCTTCTGCATGTGGCTGTCCAATTTTTCCCAACACCATTTGTTGAAGAGACTGTCTTTTTTCCATTGGACATTCCTTCCTGCTTTGTCGAAGATTAGTTGACCATAGAGTTGAGGGTCCATTTCTGGGCTCTCTATTCTGTTCCACTGATCTATGTGTCTGTTTTTGTGCCAGCACCATACTGTCTTGATGATGACAGCTTTGTAATAGAGCTGGAAGTCCGGAATTGTGATGCCACCAGCTTTGCTTTTCTTTTTCAACATTCCTCTGACTATTCGGGGTCTCTTCTGGTTCCATACAAATTTTAGGATTATTTGTCCCATTTCTTAGAAAAAAGTGGATGGTATTTTGATGGGGATTGCATTGAATGTGTAGATTGCTCTAGGTAGCATTGACATCTTCACAATGTTTGTTCTTCGAATCCATGAGCATGGAACATTTTTCCATTTCTTTGTGTCTTCCTCAGTTTCTTTCATGAGTATTTTAGAGTTTTCTGAGTACAGATCCTTTGCCTCTTTGGTTAGATTTATTCCTAGGTATCTTATGGTTTTGGGTGCAGTTGTAAATGGGATCGACTTCTTAATTTGTCTCTCTTCTGTCTTGTTGTTGGTGTATAGGAATGCCACTGATTTCTGTGCATTGATTTTATATCCTGCCACTTGACTGAATTCCTGTATGAGTTCTAGCAGTTTTGGGGTGGAGTCTTGAGTTTTCCACATAAAGTATCATATCATCTGCAAAGAGTGAGAGTTTGACTTCCTCTTTGCCGATTTGGATGCCTTTGATTTCTTTTTGTTGTCTGATTGCTGTGGCTAGGACTTCTAATACTATGTTGAATAGCAGTGGTGATAGTGGACATCCCTGCTGTGTTCCTGACCTTAGGGGGAAAGCTCTCGGTTTTTCCCCATTGAGAATGGTACTCACTGTAGGTTTTTCATAGATGGCTTTTATGATATTGAGGTATGTACCCTCTATCCCTATACTCTGAAGAGTTTTGATCAAGAAAGGATGCTATACTTTGTCAGGTGCTTTTTCTGCATCTATTGAGAGGATCATATGATTCTTGGTCTATCTTTTGTTAATGTATCATATCACGTTGATTGATTTGCGGATGTTGAACCAACCTTGCAGCCCAGGGATAAATCCCACTTGGTCATGGTGAATAATCCTTTTAAGGTACTTTTGGATCCTATTGGCTAGTATTTTGGTGAGAATTTTTGCATCCATGTTCGTCAAGGATATTGGTCTGTAATTCTCCTTTTTGATGGGGTCTTTGGTTTTGGGATCACGGTAATGCTGGCCTCATAAAATGAGTTTGGAAGTTTTCCTTCCATTTCTATTTTTTGGAACAGTTTCAGGAGAATAGGTATTAATTCTTCTTGAAATGTTTGGTAGAATTCCCCTGGGAAGCCATCTGGCCCTGGGCTTTTGTTTGTTGGGAGATTTTTGATGACTGCTTCAATTTCCTTAGTGTTTATAGGTCTGTTTAGGTTTTCTGTTTCTTCCTGGTTCAATTTTGGTAGTTGATACATCTCTAGGAATGCATCCATTTCTTCCAGGTTATTTAATTTGCTGGCATAGAGTTGCTCATAATATGTTCTTATAATTGTTTGTATTTCTTTGGTGTTGGTTGTGATCTCTCCTCTTTTATTCATGATTTTGTTGATTTGGGTCATTTCTCTTTTCTTTTTGATCAGTCTGGCCAGGGGTTTATCAATCTTGTTAATTCTTTCAAAGAACCAGCTCCTAGTTTTGTTGATCTGTTCTGCTGTTCTTTTGGTTTCTAGTTCATTGATTTCTGCTCTGATCTTTATTATTTCTCTTCTCCTTCTGGGTTTAGGCTTTATTTGCTGTTTTTTCTCTAGCTCCTTTAGGTGTAGGGTTAGGTTGTGTATTTGAGACCTTTCTTGTTTCTTGAGAAAGGCTGGTATTGCTATATACTTTCCTCTTAGGACTGCCTTTGCTGCATCCCAAAGATTTTGAACAGTTGTGTTTTCATTTTCATTGGTTTCTATGAATTTTTTAAATTCTTCTTTAATT